AGGATTTAGCCAGCGAATAGTCTTGCCTTCCCACTTTCGGGATAAAGATCACCTTAGCWATCCTCCAGGGTTCAGGGATGTACGCCAGCGCCAGGCTATCTCTCATTACATGTACAAGGTGTGGCAGTGGAGTCTACTCACCTTGTTGCAGAAGTGCCGGGAAGATGCCGTCCGCTCCCGGGGACTTGAATTTGGCGAACGAGGCCATGGCCCACCTGACTGAGTCCGCAGTAAATAATTTCCTTGCAAGCACCCAGTCAAAGTTGTTGCTGATACGAGAAATGAATTCGAAATCTATGAAAAAAACTGCTTTAAATATTTCAGAGATAAAAGAATATAAAACGACAGTTTTTAGAAAAAGAAAGAGAAAATTACAGGCTAATGAATCACGGGATGGAGATGTGCAAATGTTAGGTCGAGACCACTTTAGAGTCAACACTTTTAATGTCATTCTTGACAATCTAGATGAATGGCGAAAAAAATGTGTTGCATATGAAAAGATTCATGAAAAGTTCTCAGTTATTATTGAATTTGGCAATTTGGATAATAAAAAGATTCGTAACCGAGCTAAACGTTTACAAAATGTTTATTATTCAGATCTTGAGTCCTCATTGGAGGACGAATGTGTGCACTACCATGCTTATTGCACTGGAAACAAGATGAAACAAAATTCACCTTCTGACATTCTGAAATTTTTCCGTGCAAACGACCTTTATACAGAGTTTCCGAACGTAGAAGTTGCATATCGAATATTTATTACTGTAGCTGAAGTCAGGCGTGCTTGCCTGTGAAAAAAATTATTGTAATACAATTATTAGTCAATCTCAGTGGAAAATTTGTAGTTTTAAGAACAAGAACCTATATTTTTTATATTATACTGAAGTATTATGCATATAATAAATTATTTGCAATACCTTAAATATTTAAATTTTTTAAAAACCTAACATCAAATCTTAATAACTTTGAGGGAAATTTCAGTGACGAGGCGGCATTTTTTCCAGTGCCCAACATTTAAATAGTTGAATTTTTTAACTTTAAATGCAAATATCTGAAAAACCATAAGTCAGAGGCAATTATATATATATTTTTTTCCTTGGTCCTCTTCTATGCGTACATACCCATTTTAACCTCGAAATCGGGAGATGCTATTCTAAAATTTATCCCTAAACCATGACATGTTGTAACGCGTGACACTTCATTTTTACGGAATCTAAACTGTCAGCGTCGATTTGTATTTTTTTGAGGGTTGCCAACACTTTACTAAATAAATGGCGGCATATTTAAATCTTGCGTTAATTTTGAGACACGTACTGGCAGGCATACCACTAAATTAATATATTACAACAACCTACAAAAGCTAGAACACGTTCCTTTGTCGGTAATCCCAATATTTAAATAAATATTCGAATTAATCACTTATAAAAATATTCCAATTATTAACTATTCGCTTAATTTGTAGGAAAACACTGGTCCCCTCGGGAACTCTGGAAGCGAACTGAGTGAACAGGAATGTAATAATCGGTAAATTTGTGAGATGTAATATATAATTAAAATTCAGCCATAATCCATCTCTGATAATGGCATGTCTGTATGTCTTAAATGTTTTGAATCGGGCTAATACTTCTCTTAGCCCCCATATCTCTAGTATAAATATTTTCGAGCTTCCGGGTAACTTTGTACGGCATATATCGGTCAAAATGTGAGTTATCTCATTTAAAATGAGAGAACGTGTTTTACTCAAAACAGTATACCTTTGTGTTAGAATAGATAAAATCGTGTGAAAATTTGACCCAGCTCCTATAAAAAACTAATATCAGGATTTTTGATATTCCGTCTGACTCTACTGTATATGTAACTGGTTTTTAGTATAAGGCATGTTAATGGTATGTGGGATTGGGAAAAATAGATAAAATCGGTTCGATAACAAACTATAGATACTATAAAATTATAAAATTGCTTGGATTTCCATCCTCTGTTTGACGTTTTTCACCTTAAAGCATTTCCCTTTCTTTGAGCCCTGCGATTTAGATCTTTTTTACTTGTTAATTTATAGCCCCATCTGATCAAATTTGACTGAACAAAAAACTAAATTTTAACGTATTTTAATACAAATCTGTATTATTAATAAAATTTTCCGTTTTTAGTGTCTTCAATGAACTTTGGTTGTTTCAATTTCGACTAAATTTTGGAGCGGCAATCGTTAGATCGTACTACAGTTTTGTCGTCAAATGCACAAACTCACGTCTCGTCTCCAGTTGAAAAAAACTCTATTGTAGAATAAAAATGTCTGTGAATAAAAAAATCTCGAAAAAACTGGCCAGATTATTCTACTGACCCCATAAACAAATTGGTGCCGCGTATAGAATAATTGAACTACTGACACTTGTCAGCAGCTTTCTGCCTAGTTATCTGGGCATAACCTTTACATGTAGTATTGATTAAGTAAATCGATAATTAGGCAGCGTTTAATATCTATTTGTAACCTTTCGTTGACTAATTGTTATATTATTTGCGACCAAGTTATATTGGCGACTTTAAGAATTATTACTTCTTAATCGAATCTTTTCTTCTAAAGCTTCACTGTTACCTGTCAACTTTGAACAGTCTAGTTCTTTAGTTTGAATACCGTCCAAAGATCTACAACGACTAAGTGCAACATAAGCTTGTCCAGCAGCAAACGGTCTAGAGTCTAGATGAATTACTGCGTGATCCACTGTACAACCTTGCATCTTATGAACGTTTGACACCTAACTCAGTATGCTATTGCTATTCAAATGTCACCAAAAGTAGTTATATATAGATGTTGCATACTTTTAAGCGCATCTTTTTGGTGAGCTGCTTAAACTTACGCCTTCCTACAGTGTCGCTCAAATATTCTTCGTTTCAGTACTATTTAAAAAAGTTACAAACAAACATTCATACATACATATAACTGAAGCTAATAAAAGCGTGTTAAAAAGGATTCTGTCTGAATTTCAATTGTATATCTCACAAATTGACCGAAATTTTGTCCACATATTCGGTACCTAGGAACTTGAATAGTTTTAGTTGGATTTTGACAATGTTTGCAAAATTGTATCTCTTTATATTAATCATTACTTGAATTATGAAGGAGAAAGAATAAAGTGGAATTAAAAATTGTGTTATATGAAAGTAGGCTGGGTTGTAGTTCAATTTCACTGTATTCACGCCCATTATCCAATTTTCCCATTCGTTCCAATCAACCCCTCGTATCATTTCGTAAAACTTAATGCCTCTGGCGTAATAAGTTATTGATTTACTGTGCTTTAGTAGTTTTAAATCGTACCGTTATATAAGGAGTGAGCGGGGTTATCATCCGATTTCACCCATTTTCACGCTGTGGGTAGGAGATCGTTTATAACAGGTTTTTCAATAGGGACGTTATAAAAGTAGACCGATAGGGACAGCAAACGATTATTCGACTATTTCCTGTTAGGTTACGTTAAGTCTATGGACTGCAGAATTTCGTACGAATATCGAACTTGAAATTGCAACAATATCGGGTTTCTCCAAACATGCCCGCGATGGCCACGTAAAAAAATCGAGTTCCATACATAATGGCATCGAATATACTTTCACAGGAATAACGAATTTCATTAATATTCCAAACCGTTTTTGTTCTATTTAAAAAAAGTTTTGCATAGCTCTTATTGAGGAACCCGTTATTTGCGCCCAGCAAATTTGGTTGTTTTAGTTTTAGTAGCTTAGGAGATATGCACAATAAACTTATTAGAAGGCGGGGCCACGCCCACTTTTTAAAAATGACAGACACGTCTTACTAGTGCGATTATCTCCACAAAATAACAGTTACATAATTAGGTGCTTAGTTAGAGATTATTGTTTATTGGCGATTTGTGAGCGTGGCAGTGGTCCGACTATGTCCATCTACGAACTCGAAATTTTTTTAATAAGTTACTGCTTGCACGGACGGACTGACAGATAGTCTACCAGATTTCAACTTTTCTCGTCATCCTGATTATTTTTATACACATAACCTTATATCTATCTCGAATAGTTTTAGGTGAACAAAACTATAATACTCTGTAGTAACAGGTTGCAGAAGTATACAAATTGTGAATAATGACGAAAACAAGAAAAACATATTCTTTGGACTTATAATACCCTGATCAATTTATATGCCAGCTGTATGTAATAAAATATGTTCCTAGTTATTTGTTCGTAATTATTCATTTGTTTATGTTGTTATTTACTTCATTCAATACTGAATTTTTGTTATGTATCCGAAATATTGCAAACTAAATTTCAAATATTATATACTAATTTCAAATATTAAAATATGAATTAAAATAATATTTTTGTAGTTGATTAAAAGATCTTAATGCAAATGGAATAAGAGAAAGATACATGAATATATAATTATATTTGTACATATATAACCGAATTTAATAATACTATATCTTAATAAAATTTTATTTTATTTAAAAATTGCAGTTAATGAATATATTTAATAACTCAATTTCCAAATCAAACATTCAAGCAATGCAATTGTGTTTGTTTTGAATTTTTACTGTCAACATTTTACTTTCCATTTGTCACAGCAAAATGTAAAATATGTTTACACCATAGGAACATTTTCCATTTCCAACACAGATAAAAATATTACCGTTTGGAAAACAGTCTAATATTAAAAGGTGTAGAGTTTTTTTTAGTAAAACTCAACTCCTCAAATTTACCCCACTGATTTGTAGAAAATTTTATATGTATATCTCTCTGAACTGGTTATTTTTAAGATCACTATACTTGAATACAAACACAGCGAAAAGGGGTTTCTTCTCTCATAGGTATGGTATTATTTAACAGGTAAACGTAAAGCCAGCGTAATCTCCATTATGAAGTGTAATGTATGTTTACAACTACACATAAAAGTATATTGAGAGAGTGCGTAAAAACCTGTTGCTGTATGTGTTTGGAAGAATTTACCTTACGATACTAGTCTAAACGTTGAACGAGTATGGCTATGATGGCTGTTGCTGCTTGAAATGCCAGTAAAACCGTGTTCGTTGCGCCTTAAATATGCTGCTAAAACGTATTAACTTTGTTTGAGCTTTTTAACCAATTAAAAAAAAATGAATCTATAGTAAATACTTACTTACTTTTCTCAACATGTTAAAAAAAAAATTAAATCCAGTTCAAATCTGATTGGACTAATATTTTTTATATATACATACATATATAAATGACTAAAAGCCCTCGTCTAAAGTGCAATAAGATTTAATAAGGCAAAAAGTTAATTGCTGCGATTACGAAAACAGGTAGGCAAGTGTGACAATGGAATTGTGAGAGTTTTGATCTTCTCTTTCAAAATAATATCAGAAGAGTGATCAGGTTTCGGAGAGTTGTGTGTACTCAATGTTTGCGTGAAACCAATAATATTTAATAGGTTGGAAAATTGAAGTGCTCCAGAATCCTTTATGAAGAATTTTTATATGCATTAAATGTCAATTTTGTACAAATATATACCATACATACATATTTATATGTTAAGGCTCCGAAATTTTTAAATTGTATAAGAGAAACGACAGAACTTTAGTTTGAGTCGTAGCGAAAGTTTTACGTGCATGCAGGCCTAATAGACCTGAAAATTTAAGTGAACTTAGATGGTATTCATTTTTTTGTTAAAAGTTATTTATGTGTACTTACTTATATATATTTATATATGACTTTATGTGCTCATATTTAAAATTTGATAAGTGAGTATATCTTATCTACTTCCATCGAACTGGTGTTTAAACAGTTTTCATGTTCATATATTTGTATATTATAGCATACAAACATATACGTACATATGTCCATCGTAATATTCCTTTTGTTGCACTTATCAAATATGCCTAGATATATATGTATGTATATATGTACGTCTGATATAAATACATATTATATACATATATCTATGAGAAAGGGATATTTTCAGTAATAATATTTATCCTTGGAAGGTGGTGAAATCGGTATTAATTTCTAAAATGAACTTATAAAAACTGTCATCATCATCCATCACTTCTAACCAAATTGTACAATCTAGTTTATTTACAGTTAGCCGTTTTCGAATTTAAAATTTGTACGTGAAGTATTTCAATTTTATTTAGGAACTCAGTCACCAAAACGGCAACTTTTACACTTGAATATTACATTAATTAAATACAAATTTAGTTGTATTTTAGATTAAACAAAAGGGAACTAAGTATGAATTAAATCTGCCAGTTCAATCATTAGAAATGAGAATATGGTTCTGAAATCTGAAAATACTTAATTGACCGATTTTACTCAATGTTGCGGTGAGCGAGGGAAATAATGAGAGTGCAAGAGGGTAATTAACATCATTGCTCACTTGGTAAAGGGAGTTGCTCAGGTGTGCTGTGTTGTTAGGAATATCAGCAGTAATACCACTGTAATATATGTACATATATGTACACAGTTCTCATCACATAGTACATACAGTGATTGCCCATTAAATAGTGCAACACAAGCACACATGTGAAGTGTACTTTGCGTAGATTTAAATACAAATTTCCGTAATGTAATATTTTCAGTATGATAATATCGACATTTTTTGATGAACAACTCTTGATAATGTCTCAAAAACTTCCGAAACTCTTGGAAACATCATTGAATTTATTTTAAATAATCTTAAGCATAAATACAGTACCTATTACTAAAATTTTGCCCAATCATTCTTATCACTCAGTACATACATATATTTATCAACTATTAAATAAACAAAAATCTTTTATTTGTATTTCAGTATAGAGAACGACGGTTTTAATTTCTAGGTACGCACTTACATTTATGTATAAATTTGATTATCTTGTAGATACACAATAAGCAATCGACATTCAGTTGCTTCAAATCATTACATTCATATAGAATTCCACAATCTTACATTTATGTATAAATTGCATTCATACTATCTACTATAAAAATATTATATACATAAGTGGATATACAGTTACTATTACTGATTTTTTAGTGCACAAGTGCGTGAGTATTTGAAATGGAAAATATGCCAACAAATGAAATTAAGTTTTTAAAAACACTTCTATAATGAACAGTTCTTCTCATTTGCCCAGAGTGTGGTAGCAAGGCTTAAACATTCAAGCGTGACTTACTTATGTATGTATTTGTATACGTACGACACCTGGTGGAGATGCATGAAGAGATCGGCAGTTGGACTCATAACAACAAATAAAACGAGAACCGAGGTGAAATTAGAGTTAAATTAAACACGAGAAAAGTGAGCACAGCTCTACACTCCTCAATGGTTTAAATATCTAACATAGAGTATGTATGCAATGAATTGTATTTGGATATATGTATGTATATGTATACGTACATACATAAATAAAAATATTGCTTTTCTGCAAATTTTTATATAAAGATACACGTATTAGCTCTTTATATAAAAATTTGGAGAAAAGCAATATTTTTATTTATGAATGTATACAAGTTTACCTTTTGAGTTCGTGTCTTACCTGTGTGATATACACATATATACATATATACATATATATATACAAATATATATATATATATATATATGTATATATGTATATATGTATACCTTCTCATACAGATATGTGATTGTATGTGTTTTAAGTGTTTACTGACTCTCTTTTTCGTATATTTGCTTTTTGTAAGATACGTTTGTAGTTTCACTTGTTAACATTTTCCCGGCTATGTTCACAAGCAATTTGGTTAAAGGCTGTAGGCATCCGTCGATCACTAGCAACCTCAGTCAGTTGCTGACATTCCATCGAGAGATGAGCGCGAGTCTACCGGTAACACTTGAAAATTTCTAAACGTAGTAATCTTTAATTATTGCCAATGTGGGTTTAATGCTGTGGTAAATGCTGTTTCATGTATAATTTAACGGTTTTTAAAAATACAATAAAAGTGTATTTTATAATAAAACTGTTTTAAAAATATATGCGTAGAATATACAAACGTCCATAGTGACTATATGTGTAACGACTGTAACCAAGTCCTATTGATGGCATGAAAATTGTTTGTGGAACACACGACAAGAAAGAGAAGGGGAATTTGCGAAGAACAGGTTAAAAGAAAAGTGCAGTAATGTTGGTATTGTATGGAAGTATATATGTACATGAGTCCCAATCAAATGAAATTTTAAAGTTATTAAAGAAAATTGCAATACGTACAAATCTGTGAATACGTACGGCAGAAATTGTGGTGTAACAGGTAGTCTCCACCGAAACAGCAAAGTAACAAGTGAGAAGTGATAGTTGGAAAACGGACCAATACGGAAAGGAGATAATAATAACAAGATAACACATTAAAAAGAGATCGAAGAAAGTGTAGTAACTAAAAAAAATGATTTTTAAGTCGATAGTAATTTCGCAATGTTAACTTTCAGTTGTAAATGGTTAGTTGAAAATCCATTGCTTACCTCAAACGCTTTGAGTATGCGTAAATGTGTCTTCACAATAGTAGGTATGAACTCATATACTATATGTTATATGAATGTATACAGTTGAGCTACAGAATTAATTGTCCATTGGAAGAACATTGTTGATACTGTTATTTTAAATTGGGTAACTTAAACTTTATACCAAATTTTCATACATTGTACTGCCAAAAACAACTTTTCCTGAAAATAAAATTAAAATTTGCGTGAGTGACGTTTAGAGAGATAGAGTACTCACAGAGGAGGTATAATTGAGAATCAATTGGTCTCGAGATCATACCTTACGGAATGTCTTTAGGATATAACTGGATTTTGATTAGTTGTAAATGTTAGAACAAAAAATGGTTAGTTGGTAAAAGCTTGAAAATGATAAGCTCTTTTTGTGAGCTTTTGGTCACAATTAAGGGTAATGTAAAAAATTTACAAGTTGCACGTTTCTAATCGGGCTTGTGTGTAGTATTCTAATGGATAAAATTGCGTGAAAACATGTTTTTGAGTATGCTTGAGTAATGCAAAGAAATTAATGCAATCAAACTTTGTCTTCCCCTAGCCTCTTATACGCGAAACAGAGATTTCTCAATTATTTTTGACATTCATCTGAATTTAAAGAGTTTATTGCGGTCAATATATGTGATATTTTAATGAAATTAGTAAACAAGTTTCTTAAACATCATGTGCTTAAGTGCTGAATGGGAATAAAAGAAGTCTATAGCCTTTGGTTGTGTTTATATCATATATATAATGCATTTTTAGGTTCGCTACTTTTTTAAGAAAAACACAGAAACTTCAATTTTAGTGGGGAATATTTATTATCCTTTCACTTGTTGGCCGCGGCTACGTCTCAAATGGTCCATCCGATGATTTCAATTTTCGTTTGCTCGTTCGAACATTTCGATTAGTAATTGGCGAATGTGACACAAGTGTTGTTTTGATCTAAGGCCTGAAACAAAGCGAGACTTTAGACTTTGCATACTCTTAAAGGAAAAAGTCTAACGGTATGTTATCACATGCTCCTCGAAATGTTATCTCAATAAATCTATTGATTGATGCGATGTGCATAAAGTGGCGCCGTAGTGTTGAAACCAAGTGTCGCTGAGATCACGAGCTTCATTTTCAGGCATCTCGGTTAGCGATAACGGTACCCATTGACGGTTACGTTCTCACCGTCATCATTTTAGAAGAAATACATCCACAAGCCACACCAAACCATTGTTTTTTCTGGATGATATCTGCACGTTGCTCTTCGTCCTCATTGCGCCAGATTTGGGCCTCATCGTTGAAAAAAATTTAGCTCGCAAACGTCAGATATTCTTAGAACATTTCAAGAGCACATAGATGCGAAGCGTTGTCGCTTGGAAAGATCGAGCGGTTTTAGTTCTTGAACAAGCTGTATTTAGTAGATATCGACGTAAAGTGTGCCAAGTCATTCCATATGTCAGTCCGATTTCGGCTTTCTGTGGTCTTCGTGTACACTCACTATGGAGAGAGATAGTGTTGTGAATAGTAATAGTAAGCCTTTAAAAGCTGAAGTGCCAAACAATACTGAACAAAAATAACATGACACGACACGTCGCAATAGTAAAAGTGAGTTAAAATATGAAAAATAAAATTTGGCAAGATTGATTATAGAAGTATACTAAAATTTTTTGACAATAATGCATAGGAATAACCAATTCAGCTAACGGCTGTTAAGGTTTTACGTAACTGTTGCGTTTTGTTCACCTAATGGTTGTTTGTATTATCTAAAAAATAAGTTTAGATATATGCTTATATAGTCTTAAGTAGTTTAAGTCATCAATATGATGAGACAAGTTCGTAAATGAGCGTAATCGGGCTAGGATAACGTTCACATAACGCCAATGAACGAAAATATATAAAAGGCCATATCTACGCACTGAATTAAAATAATTTTGCACAAGGGATCGTAGTAGCAGTAGCGTATTAAGATATCTTATTAAACTTCAGGTATAATCCTTTTCTGACATATGTTGTATGTCAAAAATGCATGGAAACTAGTCTATGTTTTCCTTAGCAATAAATAATAATATAATACAAAGATTTTCTTAATGACTTTATACCGCATATATCGGCCAATAGCTGAGTTTGGGCCTAAAACGGATAAAATCAGGAGAAACAAGGAAGCATTGTACTAGTATGTGTCGATACTACACCCTACTCCCATATACTTCATATAAGGATTTTCGTTTTTCTATCCAACCTGATGGAGAATAAGACAGTCAGAGTGTGGGTTGTGCACATATTTAAAAAATCCTTGAAAACGCGAACCTGATCGCGAATGATTTGCCACCTGACTTTAAATCCTTCAAGTTGGTCAAAATATGATTTTTTAATAAAACTAAATGAAAAAGTTTTTTTTTTTTAATTATATGCTTTACCGCTTAATTCAAATGGAATCGGTTTATATCTTACTTTAAACCTCATATCCCTAATATAAAGAATTTCAATGGTCTGGTTGACGTTTTCCACATTAACTAAATATATAATATTAAATTTAGACTCTTCGGTCGAGTTAATACCATATATCGCTCGTTTGAAGATGTTTCTAATATAAGTTTAGCCGACGTGAATAGCAAAAAAACTAACTGTATATACATTGGCATCATAAAGACCTTATAATCTATAATAGATGTTCAATAAAATGATAATATATGGAGTTGTTATAAGTACCATATGTGGACATATAGGCCAGAGAAGTACCAGAAAGGTTTAGGGATAGAAATATAAAATCTTACGATTCAGTCGCCATGATAAGTTAATATAAAATGGTGTCAAAAAGTTATTCAGCAACACACAATCTTACACAAGCCGATAACATAGAACCTTACGATGCGACGTTGCCGAATGTGTTTATGTATGTGTAAACTTTATTATAATTTTATTTAAATATTATAGTTGTGGACATAAATTCCTATAAAAACGAGTTGACATAGATGCACATACATATACACAAATACGCTCATAAAGATATACATACGACAAAAGAATATAATAACTTCACTTATAGATAGTTACATGTATTAGGTGACTATTTAAATATGTAAATACATCTAAGCTTATGCTTATGTGTGTATACATATACTAAGTCCGTACGCAAATAGTCATGCATTAAATTGCGACATTAGTCGGCATTGGTGAGTATACTCGATTAACCCATACACTTTCTGACCTTTGAACATTGCACGTCCGAGACCGAGAAATCACTGTCTTTACTCGAACTGAATAAGTTTAGCGACAGTAAATGCTGATTTTAAAGTATTTTACTTTTCATCGCGTACATCTAAGCATATATGTGCATACATATATTATTAATATGTGGATATATAGCAAAGTAGGAAAATTAATTCCTTTTGATTAAAAGAGAAATTATATCGTCAAAATGTGCACTGAAATGGGTCGAAACCAGCTTTTGCACTCAATTTACATACGTATGAATATGTATGTATATACTATACTATTTCTAGCTTTTAGTTTATTATACCCTGAACAGGGTATATTAAGTTTGTCACGAAGTTTGTAACACCCAGAAGGAAGCGTCGGAGGCCCTATAAAGTATATATTAGGTTGTCAAAGAAGTCTTGCGGTATTTTCGCTAGTTGGCGCTGAAAGCGCGTAGTTCTAGTTTTATTCGCCGCATCGGGCTATAACTTTTTTTTAAATCTAATTTCACGCGCTAACACGTGTTTGATTGATTGTCGTTTCTTTTAAGTCGTTCGTGAGTTATAGCGTCGCAAACTAAAGAGAAAATACGGCATATTTTACAGTACTACTACGATAAAGGCAAAAATGCATCTCAAGCCGACAATAGAATTTGTGCAGTTTATGGACCCGATACAGTTTCCATTTCCACCGCACAACGATGGTTTCAACGTTTTCGTTCTGTTGTAGAGGTGGTCGAAGATGAGCCACGCTTCGGAAGGAATGTCGTCGAAAATTACGATAAAATCGCTGAATTGGTCGAAAGAGACCGGCATAGTAGCAGCCGTAGCATCGGTCAAGAGCTGGGCATGAGTCATCAAAAAAAATTTTATGAACATTTGAAAATTCAATAAAAAAACACCGCAAGACCTTTTTGACAACCTAATATATAAATGATCAATACGTTGAGCTGAGTCGATTTAGCCATGTCCGTCTGTCCGTCTGTATGTATGCGAACTAGTCCCTCAGTTTTTAAGATATCGTTTTGAAAATTTGAAAACGTCATTTTCTCTTCAAGAAGCTGCTCATTTGTCAGAACGGCCGATATAGCTGTCACACAAACTGAACGATCGGAATTAAGTTCTTATATGAAAAACTTTCACATTTGACAACGTACCTTCCCAATAGTTGGCACAGGTTATTTTCTAACATAATAATGTAACAGCCGAAGAAAATGTTCAGATCGGCTTATTATAGAATATAGCTCCCACACAAACTGAATGATCGGAATCAAGTTCTTGTATGGAAAACTCTTGCATTTGACGTGGTATCTTCACGAAATTTGATACGGATTACTGCTTAATAATCTCCGAAAAAATTGTTCAGATCGGATTACTATAGTTTCCATAAAAACTGGGCACATAGTTACTAAAAGAAATACACCTGTGAAGGATATATTAGCTTCGGTGCAGCTGAAGTTAACTTTTTTTCTTGTTTTTGTTATTATTAATTACTTCTGTGTATTTGCCCTGTTTCTATTTATTTTGTTACGGACATCTTTTCGCGGTCTTTAGATATCTAAATATGAAATGCGTTTTACATATTAGCACAATGATAAGCTAAACTCTGCTTTGAAACCCGCTTTAAAGGGTGCTTTCAGCAGTACTTGGCACTAATATCCTGCTTGCATATACTTATATCTTCAAATATATGTCCCTGTTACTTTAACTTAAAATATTGCATGAGATAAATTTTTTGGTAGGCAACAATCAAAACTTCATATTAAATTTATAGTTTGCATTGAGGTCTAATAGCTAGATAATATCTTAAGTACTACTCTCATTCCTAATGAATGTAATTTATACATAGATAGGGGTGTTTTTTTTTGAACTAATAATTCTTTTTACTACCGCCACGAAGTTTCCTTGGAAATACCCTAAAAACATTCCCAGAAAATTTGAGCCCTTCATATTATCATTAAGAACTGAACCAAGGCATGTAAAAATGTTCCATTGAAAATACACTAAAATCGTGATTTTTTATCTTTAAATTCCTACAGCCCAATGCTATTATATGGCATCGCTTTGACTTTATACGCATATTTCTTAGAGTCGTTCACTCTACAAAAGTGCCCAGTGCAACAAAGTCGTAACTCACACCGGTGAGGTAGTATGGGGCTCTAAACTCGACTTTTCCTTGTACATGACAAATTTGTAGGAAATAAATATATATATAAAAAATGGCTGAGGTCAAAATCGCTATCATTAATACTTCTCGAGATATTCGGCTTTTTAAGTAAGTAATTTTCAGTCCTTAATATATTAACATTAAGGAACATATAAGGACTAAGGAAACAAGGAAATTTCATGATGGGAATGAAAAAAATTAATAGTTAAAAATAAAACACCCTAATATAGATACATATAAAACTAAATATTATATCTAGGATATAAATGTAATTGTGTTTTTGACTTTTCAGGAAAGACATTAAACCGTGGAAACCTTAAGGCGTGTCAACAAATGTGAAAATCCTTTAATTTTATACATATGTTTATGCAGAGAAATTTGCTTAGTCAACACTTTAATATTTTTAACAAATCCAAGAAAATACTCCAAGTAATATTACAAATGCAAGAGCAAATAAAAGAAAAAGACTTCCTGTGATAATAATCAAGACATTCTAATAAACAAACGGCCATATATACAAAGCCTTAAAAAGGAAATATGCAGGTCTCAGAATATTTGGTGTCGCTATATATCGCAACATGTGGACAAAATGGGCCAGGACTTGGAGCGGATGAAAGGGAAATAATATTGCTAGTGTACATTATTTTGGAAGCTAGTAGCGGAAAGGTAATTAACTTTGATGACATAATAATATTCACTATTTGATTGTAGTTATAAATATTGTTCTATATTTAATACTCCTATTTTATAAGTTTATAAGTATAGATGACTGAATACATTTAATAGTCAACTTTTAAATTTATTTCTCTTACAATTTTTATTTGAACTGTGGTTCTGAGGTTTTTTAGGTTTAAAAATAAATAAACATTATATTATGTTGGCCATAATAACTTAATTTGTGTGTTAAATTAAATAAAAACATGAATTTTTTTAATTTAACCTTAAACAAATTTACTTTATTAGTAATATTTTATGAACCGCATGCAGGTAATTTGGGACTCTCTTGGTATAAGTGTATCTATTTATGCATATAATAACAAACCTAAATGTGGATGTTTCGTTTTCAAAGCGATCTTAGCATTTTCTCCTAACTTTATCATTAGCTCTGTAAAAGGTCTATAGAAAAGTCACCGGCCTGACCCTAGATGACGATACTTGAATTATGGCTTTTGATTAGCCCTAACATTGAAAAGGCGTGTGTATAAATTTGACAGCTTTCGGATCACTAGTTTGTAAATTGTATCGGATAATCAATTTTCAAGAATTGGTATGTTAAATTTAGACGTAGTAAAATAAGCACCGAAGACAGTGAACACAGTGGGCGTCCAAAAGATGTTGTTATTGACGAACACATCAAAAAAGCTACAAAATAGTTTTGGATGACTCTAAAATAAAGTTGTTCGAAACAACAGGCACTCTAAAGATATCCACTGAATGTGTACGAAATATCATTCTAGAATATTTGAGTATGAGAAAGGTGTGAAAGGAATGAAGAAGAGATCACCCAACCTGAGGCATATTCTGAAGCAAAGGACAAATGGTCCTACAAAAATGGTATCGAAAAGTTGGAGGGTCGCTATAATCAGTGTGCCATTAAAAAAAAACCAATTTTGCAAAAAAAATGTTTTTACTGTGGTAGGACGGGGAATTCTCAATTGACCTGATACTTATTTCTACCTTTAGTGCGATTACTATAATATTAATACATCTTAATAAAGCGACTTTCTCCGAAAAGAAGTCCGAACTATTGTCTAAAAATAAATGGATATTTACCAATTATATATATATATAACGAACTATGCATGTATTTGTTAATTTTGATAGTTAAAATATGTACATATATATGTATAAAAACACGCATGACAACATGTGGTTGTAACACACTTGCAAACAGCGTTTGGCGAATCTCAAAAGTTAACAAGTGAGGAAGATCATAGGTTCAGGTGTAAACGATTTGCCATTTTCAAGGATCGAAACCGGGAAATATCTTCTTCTTTTGCAAAAATTGATTAAAAACAAGTAAGGAAGGGCTAATTTCGGGTGCAACTGAACATTTTATACTCTTGCAATTAGCAAGAAGCAAAACCAGGGAAATACTTTAAGTTATAAAACTAATAATATAGAGTAAATTCAGTCGGAAGTTCGAAAATTTTGATATTAGTTATAAAGGGGCTAGGCCAAGTTTTGGCTCAAATTTATCTATTTTAGACACAAAAGCACCCCGAAGTTCGAAAATATTTATATTAAGTATATAGGGGCTAAGGGAAGTATTGGTCTGATTCAACCCATTTTTGACATACAGACAATCCATTATAAGAGAAGGATTATCCTTGAATTTCAGTTATATCAACTATAGGTAAGGGGTCTAAACGTTCCGTACATAGGAATTTGAACAGTTTTTACTGGAAACTGAACGAAAAAGTGGAATTTAAAATTGTGCTATATGAGAAGTAGGCGTGCTTGTTGTCCGATTTCGTCCATTTTCACACTGTGACATGGGAATGTGAAAGAAATGCTATATATTAAGTTTTATAGAAATCGGTCTGGTTACGAGATATGGGATCGTCCGATTTTCACACTGCTCCCATAAAGCCATCTCATACCATCTCGGAGGTACAATTTAATGCCGCTGGCGTATTTAGTTATTGCATTTTAATTGTTTTTAACAGTACCGTTATATGGGAAGTGAGCAGGGTTATCCTCCGATTTCATCTATTTTCATACTGTCCATAGGAGGTTTTAAATATTTGTACTTAGGAAACTTTCTTATTGTAGGTTAAACTTATTAGAGGGTGGGACTACGCCCACTTTTTCAATTTTTGTCCACACGGTCTCCATGCTACCGCAATTCTCTGTACCAAATTACAGCTTTATATCGTAATTTAATACGAAACTGGAACTTTTTTTGAACTAAGATACCAACAAATGAAGTTTCATCAATATATCTCAATTTTTACTTACAGTTTGCACGGACGTAAAGACATTCAACCGGATTCTATCTCACTTAGTTTTAGGTGATACGTACAACCGTTAGGTGAACAATTGTAGCAATTGGTTGCAAGAGTATAAAAATGTTGCGAAAGAATTAAACATCTTATATGTATACCAGAGGACCCGTCCACGCTTTTCTGTGGCTGATACATAAATGATACTACTTATACCATCTATATGATTTCTATTAGTTAGATTATAACTATTAGTTAATGAGAAAGTGAAGCAACTTGTATTAGGGGAAAAATACTGTTGACTTTGGGCTGAGCACCAGTAAAATCGACTGAGCCCACTCAACAGTCAGTATAGTGGACTGCATATTATGAAACGGTTCTCAAGCGCGGAAATACAAAAAAAGTCGACCGGCAAGATTATGACATCAGTCTTTCGGTGGTGATTTGGTCATTTTAAAACCAAAATCAGCTCAATTGGCCCAGCCGTTCTCGAGTTTTAATCAGACTAACGAACAACAATTCATTTTCATTTATATAGATATATACAACATATTATTATATAATTGTAAGGATTCAAATGCACATATTATATACATATTAAGCCATTTATTTATATTTATACACTCCATATACAAAAATTTAAAATTTTCTTGGATGTGCCCGTTTTTGGACTGTGAACATGATAAGCAAATCTTTGCTTAAATTAAATACAACACAGTTATCATCATCATCATGATATCGGTCAATAAATCTACACTGCTGTACATATATACAGTTAATTAATATAGTGCTTTCTGGTAGACAATATTTTTAGTTTTTTTTTTGTGGTGGGTAAATAAATGAGGATGTTGGTTTTCGGACACGCGAACACGCAACGTATAATTGTCCATGTGCGAAAAAGGGAAACTCTAAGTTTATTCCGCAAACTTGCAACGATTGGCCTTGCGATTTATTTATGGTCATCGCAAAAGCTAGACGCACGGGAATTGCAACCTTTTAAAATCAAATGGCAAATCCGTTGGAATCATAGGTATTCGTGGGATTAAGACATCCTCTCCTTGTATTTTCCTTTGATTATTTTAGCTTCGATAATGTTATTCATGAGTTTCTTCACAACCAATCCCGTTCCATTGCAAAGTCGAGGTTGATTAATATTACGTAGCATGATGACAACTGACCCTACTTTAATTTCAAATTATCTGGTGGTAGTCCAGGCAAGCCCAATGAATTTAAAAATTCTGTAGAATAGTTGACTACGTCATCCTGGTTTGTAGTGGTGTCAACTGATTTGTACGTAAACAACTCTCCTGGAAGGAAATTTTTAATGGTAGCATTGAGATCATCGACATCTTTGTTTTTTGCTGCCAATATTGCTCGTTCACTTAGCCAATCGTGGTTATTATATTGTTGTTTAATGTCCGGAAAACACGCTGAATAAGGTCGTCTTTCGATTCTGTGAAGTGACAGAAATCTGTGGGAAAAGTCATTAATCYGGTCGAGCTGTCAACTGCGACCTTACCATTGCCAATATCCAGCAACTGTCTCGAAAGCACAGTCGCAGTTTGATTTTGTTGCAAAAACACTCGCATGTTAGTAGTTAATTGTAGTGTCTTTACGTGCCTCCACAAATTTGATGATTTTAGACATGCGTTTATTTCGTGAGCAACAGTCGATCGAGGAATTACTGGAAGAGTCTGACGAAAATCACCTGACAACAGTATCATAGCTCCACCAAAAACCACCTATCTAGTGCCTCCAGCGAGCTCTTGTGGGCCATTGTGCATTCGTCCCAATTATGCATACTTGGAGAGTCTTCGCCATAGCTCTATTTTGGGCGATGTTGCAAACTGGCGTTTCGTCGACATGCATGTTTAATGGTAATTTTAAGGCTGAATGTGCAGTTCGTCCGCCTTATAATAAAGGTGCTGCTATTCCAGATGAAGCCAACGCTAGGGCTACCTCATTTTGCTAATAGCAATGTAATTAGGAACGTTCTTCCAGTACCCCCAGGAGAATCAAGAAAGTAAATCCCCCCCGACCCACTGTTTACAGCTTGTATCAAACGATCGTATGCAATCCTTTGTTCTTCGTTCAATTGCGGAATGGTTGTGCGAACTGCTTCGGTCATAGCTTGAATATCGTACTGGAGTTCTCTTTGCAACTCATGGTTTAATGCATCTTGCATAGCACAATTGGGTGCTGTCAGGCCCAAACACGACAATACTTTATTTGCCATCAATAAACACATATTTTCTATTATGATCAATGTGTCATTGTAAATCTCTGCCGTAATTTCCAATGTAGGATTCAAAGTTTTACAACGCAGGCAATGCAACACATCCTCAGACATGTCATCCCTATTTCATCCACAAATCTTTCGGATTTGGGGGGAAACATGTCGATATTATAATCGCAAACAGTGTGTGAATTTGATGCGGCGATGAAGATATCACGGAATCCTTGAGCGTATCATCCCAATGCATGTCGTTTTCAAGCAATCGTAATAATTGAGACACCTCACGGTAAGTTACACACAGATGTCCATCAACTGTTCTCAATTGTTGAAACGATATCGGACCAGGAACATTTAATAATAACAATCTAAGATAATAACAATCATCGTTATTAGGATGTACTGCATATATACGGCCTATAGCATCTGTGGCAAATACATTTTCATATCTTTCAAGTGGTGTTCCTTGTTTACGACGCTGAAAAGGC